ATAATGCAGGAGAGCTGAATATTTACACAGATCAGATACACAGTAAATACTGTCATGGTTTGCACAGTCATATAAAAACTTTGTTATCCAATGAGATCTTGGTAGCTGAAACTTTGTAATATTGACTGACCTGCAGGACAGCGATGGCAGCATCTTCCATTTTTAGCAATGTACTCATCCTCGCAAGTTATAGCCATTTGTAGCCCATTCAATTACAGTCCTCCACCGGTGTGTAAAATATCTTCAAGCTCGACGCTATAACAACTATCTTTCTCTACGCCCTTCCTCGAAACCTGCGCTGATCCTCTGAAATTACAGCGGGTTCATTTATCTCACACGAAGAACATCGATAAGAGTGAAGTCTCTTTCGTCTTCCTTCTGTATTTTGTGATGTTCATTCATTCGCTGCTTGCGTTCTTCTGTCTCCTGTCTGACCTGTTTGTGACTACAGATGTTTCCCCTCCTTACTCTTCCTTACTCACTTCTTATGTCTTTTCTAATCCTACACAGTGGAAAACCCCAGTGACCCTCATCTGCAGTTTCCCCCTCTGTCACTCTCTTTCTCTTTTTCTCCTCATTTCCTTCCTGCCATCACTCTAACTGCAAAATCATCTGTGTGTGTGTTTCCGTAGTTACATGACTAAAGGCTGCTCTTTGGCACTGTTAACTGCACAAATCAAAGCAGCACAAAGAGACATTTCCTCTCTCCACTACACCCTTTCCATCCACTCCATCTCCATTGTTTCCACTTATCCTTTTTTCCTCAGTGGTGCAGGAATGTTGCTGAGATAAAACCACGAGATTTTGTAGCTACACTCACTCTGAAAAGATTTGGTCTCAGTCTGTTTTTCTGCCATGCAGACACTCCCTCATTACTGCAATCATAAAAAACAATCCATGAATAGATTTATAAATGCTTACGGGTGCAAAACATGTGAGACAGGAAAGGGGGGCAGTGAGCCAGAGAGAGCGATGGAAAGTAAATTAATAAGAAAGGGGAAGGAGAGATGCTGACATACTTTATTTGAGAAGAGATTTGATCGGATCACAATGTTAGGATTAAGGTGAGTTTTACTTTTTAGTACTGGTTTGTAATAGATCGCTACAGTGCTTAATAAATGTATGGTTATTCCATGATATATTATGTTTATGTTTTGTGCATGGCCACTTCTGGCTGACTTTTTCTGTCTCTCACATTAAACACTACACTAAGTTTGTGCTCTTCACATTTTCCCCACATCTCTTCCTTTCCCCCCTGAATTTTCCTGTCTTTCACATTTTCCCTTAGTCTCCTGCTTCTTCTGGTCTCCCACTCAGCCTGCTCGATGCTGCTGGGTTGGGTGGAGTCTCCAGGCTATCCTAAAGGATACTTGCCCCATGCCAGTCTAAACTGGAGCAAATGTGCCCCCAAAGGCCACGTTCTCTCCATCAGGCTCATCCACCTGGACCTGGAGGACAGCCAAGACTGTGAAAACGATGCGGTGAAGGTCAGGGGTCAAGATAAACTTCAAATTCTTAAAACTCTTCCCTCTACAGCAAACCTTTTTAACTTCATCTCTCATCTCTTTTTCTAGGTTTATTCGAATGGAAATCTAATTTCTGTTCTTTGTGGCAAAAAGGAATTTGAGGATCTTGACTTCACTGTAAATCCCTCACTCATCTCCTCCCCGGGTGGCTGTCTCTCTCTTAATTTCTACTCGGACTATTCAAACACTGAGAGGCACACCGGCTTCAGAGGCTTTTACAGTGTGCATGGTGAGATACAGAGGAGAAAAATACGAAATTTTGAGCTGCATGTGACCAAATCAAGGTCAATTGTATTTTTGTGTTTCACAACAGTTGCAGGTTGAAGCTGCTAAAGTTAATAGTTTGACATGTGGTAAAATGTACAGGGTCCAGTATTGTCCATGGTCAACAGTGATTTCCTATTTAAGTTGCAATAAATAGGTGAAGAAAAAAATCATAACATTATTTTAAAAATAGGCCAAATAAATGATTAAAGTACATGAATCCAAAGAATGTGTAGAAATGTGGTGACAGGGCTAAAATAATGATTCAATTCAATTAATTAATTAAGTTTAACCCTTTTTCTATACTCATTGACATGAAAAGATTCAGCTCAAGCTGAGTGAATAAACAGTTAACAAACCTAAATGTGGCCCCCCCTCAGTGAATTCCTTCTGACACATACATCATGTGAAACAATGCTAGTACACAAACCAAGTCAAGGTTTGTGAAAAATGAGTGACATGTTTGGCTCTGTAGTTCAGTCCTGCCCTAAACGCTTTAAAATCAGTTGGCAAATATATTGTCAGTCATTTTGTAGACTCACTGAAATGTGTGCACAAAAATCATTTAAGTCTCTTGTGTGCCATGATTTTCTATGTGACCTCAGACTTTGATGAATGTGAGGACGACCCAGAAAATGGATGTACTCAGTTCTGTCACAACTTCATTGGCGGGTACCACTGCTCCTGTCGCCATGGTTACGTCCTGGATGCAGACAAACACACTTGCACAGGTATAACTACTCTCATTTTCAGTAACCGGTCCTCAGAATGGGGGGTGGTCGGTTATAAGACAGAGGAAGAAGGAACAAAACTAAAACATGAAGTGAAAATGGGAAAACAGGAAGCAGAAGTGGGGGAGGAATAAAGAACGAGATCAGAGAGTTACAAGAAAAGGAGGCTGGTTGTCTAGTGCGTATGACTGTGTTAAAATGATAAATGTCATGACAGTGAAATGTGATCTTTACCACAGTGAGCTGCTCTGAGGATCTTTCGGGACGGTATCGAGGTGACATATCCAGTCCCTTCTGGCCTGCATCATATGCAGAGAATTCCCACTGTCAGTACACCCTGTCTGTGGAGGCCCACCTGCAGCTGGAGCTGCACTTCTCTGACAGTTTTGATGTAGAGCAAAGACCTGATGGTCAATGCATAGATACTCTGCTGGTAGGTGTTGAGTCAGAATCACATGGTATCTTCTAACTTTACGGAGCAGCAAGAGGAAGTTCAGGCAAAATGTTGAAACCATGGATTTGGCAACTAGCTCACATCCTACTTTAGTTTCTGTGACACACGTTTTGAACGATTTCTTATTTTGCATACAGTGCTTATAAAAAAGTATTTTGCCCCCCATCACACACACACACACACACACACACACACACACACACCTTTCATGTACAGTATTAACACTGCCTTAAAACCATCTGATCTCCATTTAACAAATTTTTACCATACTGGTAAAGCCCAAGCAGTGATCTAGACTGGTCCTGTTAAAGGGGTTGAACATTTATGCAAACACATATTTTGTATTTTCTATATAGGGTGAATCATTGTTATAGGCACTTTATACTGGAGGACACACATATTTCTCACTAGAGGAAACCTGAGGATGTCAGGAATTCCAGAGTGAAACTTAACCTGTATTGTTGTATTTGCAGATTAAGACTCACTCTGGCACGTTGGGGCCATTCTGTGGCCATACACCTCCACCATCACCCCTCCTCACTCACTCACATCATGTCAAAATCCACTTCACTTCTGATGGCTCTGGCACCAACAAAGGCTTCACTTTCCACTTCAAGACCAGTGGTACTGCAGCCTCATCTGTGGCATAGTGGGACAAGAGTATTTGTGATGATGCTTGTAGAAAACAAATGATCATAAATGCTCTTTGTACATGTTAATTGCAGACAAGGTCTGCCCAGCAGTGGTGACCTCGCACTCCACTGCGACTCCCCAGAAACCAGAATATCATCAGGGTCAAGGAGTGACTGTAACTTGTGATACTGGCTATGCTGTGAACACTGTGAGTGTACAGAGAACCTGAAACTTTCATAGCTGTATATGTTTGAGCCATTCTCAAGCTAATAAAGTTCTCCTTTTGCAAAAGCAGCAAAGCACCCAGACCCTGACAACACAATATGAGACGACATGCCAGAGCACAGGCATATGGATCCCCAGTTTCCCCTGTGAACGTGAGTCTGACTCTCACCAAGCTTTTTTTTGTTTTCTGAGGATGTTTTTAAAGAACGACTGTTTTGAATTTCTTGTTTTTTCACATATTCTTACATGTAGGTGTGGACTGTGGTCTTCCTGAGATCCCAGAAAACAGCATCCTTAAGCTGGTGGGCTCAAAACGTCCACACACTCAATATCAAGACCAGATCCAGTTAAAGTGTAGTTCAAAGTACTACACACTGGAAGGAAATGGTGATTACAAGAAGTTTTTACACATACATTTTCTAATTCCTTTCAAAAGCTAACTTTTAAGAAATCAGGGTTTTCTGGTTTTATCCATTATTGTTTCACCACCATGCTTTCTTTGACCTTTCAGACACATACACTTGCGGTGCCAGTGGTGACTGGGCAACAGTTCATGGTAAAACACAGATGCCAAAATGCACACCAGGTAGGACTTCAGATACGATTCTTATATCTTAGATGGTTCCTTTATCATATGAATCTGTTCATGAATCTTTGTGTGTGTGTGTGTGTATTTCAGTTTGCGGGAGGCCTGAAAAAGACTCTGCAAGTACGGGCAGAATTCTGGGAGGTCAGGATGCACAAGTGGGAGAAATACCTTGGAATCTTTTGATAAAAGAGCCCAGTAGAGGAGTAGCATCACTGATCAATGATCAGTGGGCTGTCACAGCAGCTCATGTTGTAGAAGGTGCAGAGCAAACCTCTTTGCGCCTGTATGGTGGATTGGTAGATGGAGCAGCAGCAACTGGTACAGGAGCTGTACTGGACAGTGAGAGAATCATAATTCATCCTGGTTACACCAGACGCACTGTTGGTGAAGAACGTACCAGTTATGACAATGATATTGCTCTTATCAGATTAGCTTCCAGGGTGAATTTGGGGTCAAACCTCCTTCCCATCTGTCTGCCAGTGGAGAGCAGCAGCTTGCAGGAGAACGAACAAGGCACCATTTCAGGCTGGGGGTTGACAGAAAGGAGAACTGGAACAAGACTTGTCACATCTCGCACATTAAAATACGCTCATATCGGGGTCTACTCCCTTAGAAATTGTCAGGACACACCTTATACACCAGATAACAAACGTATGATTTTCACTAATAACATGTTCTGTGCTGGGGCAGATGGAAAAGACAGCTGCTTAAAAGACAGCGGAGGTCCATTTGTTTCACCTATGTTGTCTGCAGACAGAGGGCCTTATTATCTGAGGGGCATTGTGTCCTGGGGCGCCCCGTGTCAGCAGAAGAAGTTCAAGGGTTATTATACCAAGGTGGATAATTATGTTGACTGGATCAGGGAGACGATAGATAACGTGGAAACATCTTAAAAAGAGGAAAGATGAGGGGGGAAACACTTTGCTACCAATCATAAGACTGTCATCCATTTCAGGGCTGATTCACATCTCAAAAATTATAACGCTTATACAAATAAAAATTATAATCATGTAATCAATTTAATAATGAATTCATAAACACAATCATATAAGCACATTTTGACTTCATTCATCACTTTTGTATTAAAGAAAATGTTTGCAAAATGGCTGCAGAGAATCTGTGTTTTAATCAACTTTCAGTTATTGATAGTTTAGATACAACGTTTTGTGTCAGGTTCCTCATACAAACAACTCTTGAATAGATTATTCATTTACCTCGATTATACTAAGTGACAACTCCTTCATCCACAACACTGCAACCACACAGGCAGAACATATTTTCAATTTCTACTAATTCATGCATCGTCTTCACTGGATGTTAGAGGTAAATATTGTACTCTTTACTGTAGTACATTTTAAAAATCATTTTATTTACTGCTGACTTTTCAGAGTCAGATGAATTCTACAAAACACAACATCATCATGACTTTATTGATTCCCAGTGGGAATTCACAAGCAACCAGCAGTATGTAAACTAATTCAAACTGTAATCATATGAAGAAGTTAAAATTTACCAGCTACGATATTCAAGTCATAAAAACAACAATGCAAGAATAATTATAATCCAGTAATATGCATTAATGTGAAATGTTTTATTCCACAAATAAGTACTTTTACTGTTGATATAACTATATTTAAATGTTATACTTGCCATTACTTTAACTTGATCCTATAAAAACATTTGTATCATATTTGCAATGCGAGTTTCTGGGCAAAAACAAATCGCCAAAAATGCCCCATATATCAAATCTGATACAAAAAATAAACAAAATAATATGGCACATTTATTCCTATATGACTGGACTGTCTGCCTATGCATAAATGGCAAATAAAAATCTTGAATCTTGAATTTTCTTTTGGATTTTGTTAAAAGGTTTAATAAACATCTCTGTTCCAAAAAATTAGAATGTTTGTCAGGCTTTACAGGGTTAAGTAAAATACAGAAAGCAGGCTTTATATTTGTAACAGTATTTTCACACTGTGGTATTGTTATATTTAAGTAAGTAAAGAATTTGAGTACTTTTATTGCATCAGTTTTTTTTTAATTCTCAAACTTTAAGATGCTGAAAAAGGCAAATAGCTCCCTCTGGTGGATAAAGGTTTTATGTAGAATGATGGTTGTAAACCTGGGAGCTGCTTAGAAACTAAAATAGGCTAGTTTTTTTTTAAATAATTCAAATAGTTTTCAGTAGAATAAAATGTAATATATATAAAAAGTTGAATTTTCCTGTCATTAGTGATGTCCAGTTCACAAAATCTTCCTAATTTACTGTTTTAGCATCGACTCTGTTTCTCTGCAATTTGAAGTCAAGCCTTCATTTGATTTGCCAAGACAAACAAGGTCTGTTCCTGGAATTAATGCAGTGAGTTGCTAAATACTGGAAACAACAAACTTTGTGACATTAATGTTTCTTTCACTTGAATGTGAGACATTCGCTCCTACAACAGCAGATCCGTTCACTCATAGATATATATTTTTAATCCAGAGATGGAGCGGACCTTCTGCATCATCTGGTAAGTTGACCTGAAAAATTAATCAATTTGTATGTTGCTCTTAAATATTTTTTTTTCATAAGTTTCTTGCTTAAATTTTTTTTGCTTCCAAAGTCACAACATATATTTACTGTGGAACTGCTTCTCTTATTGTGTGTTATCTTCTGTGCACCCAGTATTACACATGAATAATATTTTATAGGTTAACTGAATGATCCATCTCTCATTATGCCATTTGTTAAGTCTCAACAATATTATGTGGTTTCCACAGTTGTGCTGATTGTGTCACTGTTTATTCTTTTCTGTTTGCATCAACTTTGGACCGTTTGACCACAGACTGATATACAGATCGAACTCTCTCTCTCTCTCTCTTCATGCACATTTCCAGGTTTCTGTATGTGTCAGTGTGTGAGTCCTTGTTGTTTCCAGACTCAAAGCCTGTAATGCATGGGGAGGTCCTGTCCCCTGAGTATCCCCAGCCTTACCCTCCCAATCTGCAGAAACGATGGGACCTCAGTGTGCCCAACGGCTACCAGATCCGACTGGCCTTCTCACACATGGACATTGAAGCTTCTGCAGGCTGCTACTACGACTCCCTTACCGTCAGAGCCATATTTTAACACATATAATATCAAAGAAAACAAACAAACAAACAAAACAGACCAGTGCTGTAGTACTGTAGTTTTAAACTGAATGTTGACAATGTGGCCTTTGCACTTTACCTGCCACCATTTCACATTTTTTTTGTCTCATTCATCTCGTTCTCATTCAGATCTCATTATATTACCACAGTGTAGACCTTTGTTTTCTAGCCTTATGAGCTGTGACAGACAATTTATACTTTAATGACAATTGGTACATAGGCCAGAAGACAAATAGCAAAGCACAATTGCTAAGCAGTTTCCTGCAGCCAGCTTTTTCTTGGCATTTTTGTCATGGCCTCCACTGGCTCACACTGGGATTCCTTTGAGGTCTTAGTGATTTAATCACATCCAGTCATCTCGGATAAAGTAGCTCATTTCCCATTTTGTGTTGTCATGTAGGTATTTGAACCACTTCATCTTTGGTCATTGACGAGGACAAATTGTTATTAAAAGACCTGTGTACTTGTGGTCTCCACAAAAACTCCCAGTGGAAGCTCCACTAAAATGCCTAGTCAGTAGTTCAGTCTGTAGAAAACATGTGATGCCACTTTGGCTGATGTTTGGAGACTTGAACATCAACGTTGCAATAGATTCTGCTGATGACAAATGCTGCATGGTGTTTTTACTTTTCTTGTGAGCGTTTGTAAAATAAATAACCTGGACTATATTCTGTATAACGGAGCTCAGACACATTTGGCATTTTCACAGCAAAATTTCTTTATCATGACTAAGATTTTGTCCTTCATACGACTGTTCAGGTTCTCTACAATGAAAAAGTCCTGGCAAAGTTTTGTGGCCAAGAGAATTCTGCTGATGGACATCACCCAGGCAACCAGCCCATCCTGTCTCCAGGCAACAGACTCACTCTCTTATTCCAGACAGACAGCAACAACCCAGAGAAGCACCAAAATGTGGGCTTCTCTGCTCAGTACCAGGCAATAGGTAGCACTTCCTCATGTTCTGCAGCTTTTCTGTCACTTCTCTCTTTCCTCTACTGAACCATCTCCTATTAGCCTAATGACTTTCTTATCATCAGACATAGATGAGTGTTCTGCACCTGAACCTAGAGATGGTTCAGATTCCCTCTGTGCTCAGATCTGCCTCAATACCCTTGGCTCATACATCTGTTCCTGTCACCATGGCTATGAACTGCGCTCAGACCAGCGCACCTGCGCATGTGAGTATTGTGCTGATAAGTGTCTCCGATGAATGTGTGGTCATGCTGAGTCAAACTGCTGTGACTTTCTTTCACACCATTTGACAGAAAGTGTCAGCTGAGAGAATTAATACCCACTTAACAAGCTCATTACTGAACATTTGACCTTAATAGTCAATAATACCAAAAGCATAACACCTCATGAGGAGGTTGGGGAGATGGAAGTAGCAAACAGCACTGGTCAGTGAGAGGCTTCTTTAATGGTTTTATAGCACTGTGTTACTACACATCCTCAGCACAGTTTTGTACCATACAGTTAAGTGAATGAATATTGAATCCCCATCTAGATATTAACACTTATTTTGTGCACTGTGATGTTTTTCATTTTCTTTTTGCCCAGTATCATGTACTGGTGGTATTTTTGACGAGCCCCAGGGACATTTATCCAGTCCAGGATACCCTAACTCCCCTCCTCATGCTTTGTCCTGCCAGTACGTTATTTCTGTAGATAGTGGCTTCACTGTCACTCTCAACTTCTCCGACAACTTCCACGTCGAGAGTGTGGACACTCAGCAAGGCCCAAATTGTCTCTATCACTGGCTGCAGGTAACACCCAGTAGCTTCCATAACATATACTGTCTATTTTTATGCACAGTAAATAAAGGGTAATAAAGGGGTATATCATACAATAAATCAACTGGGTGCTACTCTTCTCTTTAAAGGTGACTGTTCCACACAGAGAGCCCATAAAGCTGTGTGGTGCAAAAAGTCCAGGTGTGATAGAAACCAACTCCAATACTGTCAGACTGGACTACCACACTGATGATGAAGGCCTGAGCAATGGGTGGAGTCTGGACTACAGCACACAAAGTGAGGGAGCGAGGGATGAGATTAAAAATAAGACAATGAGTATTGAAAGTGCAGTTGATGGGTCTTCCAGGTTATGAGTGCCATTGTCAACTAATTTTGGCACACAGTTAAATACATTTTCCAGCATACTGTCAGTTTGAAACTAACCTCTGGGTAACTTTTGATTGGCAGTTGATGTTATGGTTTCTTGTCTGTGGCGTTTCCAGGAGTGAACTGTCCACCTCCCAGTAAGGTGGCTCAAGGCAGGGTCACTCCTATGTTGGCCGAATATTTCTACAGAGACTACATCTTTGTGCGCTGTGACCAAGGATACAAACTGATGATGGTTTGTGTCTTATTTATTACAATAAGTAATATCTAAAAGACACTTGTTTATTTGTCTTTATTTTTGATATAAAAATACTGGGCCGGCATTTCCTCTTTTTTCTTTCAGGATGGTCATGAGATTAAGAGCTTCTCTGCCATGTGCCAAAACAATGGACAGTGGCACCTCCCTTTGCCAGAATGCCACAGTGAGTTAGACAAAGCTCAGACAAAACACCCTTTGTAAAGTAACACAAGCTATGTTGTGATTCAAATTAAGTCTTTTTATAATTTCCTGTATTTCACAGGCAAAACATTAACATGTCTTTATTTTGTTCTTCTGCAGTAATTGACTGTGGAGAACCTGAACCCTTGCTGAATGGAGGGCTGACCTTCCTGTCTGGCTTTCAGAACCAGTACCGTTCTGTTTTTCAGTATCACTGTAATGAACCATTTTACTCTCTGCTTGGGGGCGTAAATGGTGAGATATTTACATATAGTGTTCTATCATTTTTTTTCTGCTATTCTTCATTGGCTGCCATTAGGAGGCTCTTGAACTGTGTTTCAGCTGCTTGTAAACTGCATTAATTTGAGCTTGTTTTACATTTTATTTATGTGTTAATACAAATCTCCACCACATCATGAAATTTAACTTAGTGTCATGCTAATTTGATGTCTAATGTGATGAACATACAACTCAACTGTTCAGTTTAAAAGTGTGATAATAGCTACAGAAACAAGTGAAAACAAACAGAAGCCTGGAAATACATTTAATACAAAATATATTTTAAAAGCATTTACATGTGTATTTTATAAAGTATTAGCCGTGCTGTATTGTATACATGATTAAAAGTGCATGAGCTAAAACATGCAAAACTACTTTAAAGAGTAAATTAACACCAAGTCAAGGGTGTTGCCAGGGCTGTGCTCTTATACCTGTGACCACACCCAGGAGTGATGTCATGGTGTTCTGACACACCCTAGAGTGCACGTCTATAAAACTGCAACAATTTGAGATAGTATTTAAACATTTCAGCCCCTTGTAAGTTGTTTGTAAGCCACGAGGAACACCAAGTATATTTGCCTTTTGTCCCCTCTGCTCCTCAGTTAGCTTCACCTGTGAAGCAGACAGAAAGTGGAGATCACACAATGATGTTGTTGTCAGTCCAACATGCTTACCAGGTATTGCATTTCTTTACAAAAATAAAGCCATGCAAAACCCAGTCTGGATCTAGGTCCAGAATTATCTTTTTAATTCTAAAGTGAAGTTTGAAACTAAACGTATACTGACTGTGTACATCTGTATCTCAGTGTGTGGCAAACCAATAAAACATGTCTCTGGGATCCAGCGGATCATTGGGGGTAGCGATGCTCCAGATAATACCATCCCCTGGCAAGTGATGCTGAATGTAAATCAAAATAGAGGAGGAGGCATGGTGATTGCAGATCGCTGGGTTATGACTGCAGCTCATAACTTAATAGATAAAAACAGTAAAGTGGCAACTGAAGCAATACAGGTAAATGCATTTATCTGTGTTTTCTGCCTGCTATCTCTGTGTTTTTGCCCTTACTAATTTCCTGTTGCTGCTGTTGATTTACAGATTTACATGGGACATAATAATGTTGACACCATACTGCAGACTCCTCTGTATGCTGCTTCAGTCCACACTCACCCTGGTTACAACAACCCCAATAATGTAGACTACAACAATGACATTGCCTTGATCAAACTGCAAGACCCAGTCACATTCAATGCATCCATTATGCCAATATGTTTGCCACCAGAGGGGGCCGCATATGAAACTGGAATAATGGGGTAAAGAAACAGCTGCTGGATTTCATTACAGAATGCTGTATAATCCATTTTATATGAAATCATTCACATTCTCCACTTCCTTTTCTGTAATTTCAGTCATTTTACTTTGCCTTTAAGTCTTCTTTTTGCTTTTTTCATTTGCTGTGTCAACATGTGCATCCTGTCGAGACAGGAGACACTGATTTATTTTGTTTGACTGACTTCACCAACACTATGTCTTCTGTGTCTTTCTCAGGCTGGTGTCAGGCTTTGGCATTACAAAACTTGGTGAACAACGTTTTGCATTAACTAATAAGCTGAAATATGTGCTCGTCCCTCTGGTGGCAGAGGAGGAATGTGCTAAGTCAGCCGTTTCATGGAAGCAGGAAAGCGCAAACATACCAGACCTGACAAATAACATGTTTTGTGCTGGAATGCGTGAAGGTACGAAGGACTCCTGCCAGGGTGACAGTAGAGGCCCCTATGCTCTGTATGATCACCAACGGTACTGGGCTGCAGGGATTGTCAGCTGGGGGGTTGGTTGTGGAAAGAAGGGAGCATATGGAGTCTATACCAGAGTCGCTAACTACCTAGACTGGATCAACAAGACCATGCAGGAGAACTAAAACTTACAGTTAATCATTACAATGTGATATGAAGGTGTTGATGACATCTACAATAAACCATCTCGCCTGTCCCTCTGGTAACTGGCCGTGCTGCGTTGTGTTTGCTTGGGACACATGGACCGACACATTTGCTATTCAACGGGGCCCTTTATTGCTGGTCACAGAGGAAAAAAACATAAAACAGATAGCCTCCAGTGAGTGCTCAGCTCGCTCCTCTTACCACTCGACACCATGCAGGAAAGAGAGCGGAAGAAATGCGCAGGGTGATAACACACAAACTATTATACATAACTTGGACATACCTGGTCACAGAGGAAAAAACATAAAACAGATAGCCTCCAGTGAGTGCTCAGCTCGCTCCTAAACAAAAGCACACAACAAGTTTACCCATGCGACCCAGGGTGGGCGATAAAAGTAAAATAGTCACAAATGGATGGAGCGCTCACCTCTTTCCACTCGACACCATGCAGGAAAGAGAGCGAAAGAGGTGCGCGACCCCTCTTTATACCTGGCTACTAACAAAGAAAAGCATGGCTCAGCTGCGAGCCCTAGTGGAGTGGAGGTAGGTATCCCTGACCAGGCATGTGAATTAACTTGCACATAAACAAGATGTTTTGCGTAATTATTACATCCCGGTTACATTCTGTGTAATTATTACATCCCGGTTACATTCTGTGTAATTATTATATCCCTGTTACATTCTGTGTAAATATTACATCCCGGTTACACATGTCACAAATCTTTCCAAAGGTAACAACGATAGTCATATTTTGCACTATGACAGGTGCTTTATAGTTTTAATTACTGCGTATACCTGCTATATATTGTAAATATTACTTGCTCTTTGTGAGCTAACCTCAGGCCCACCTTCCACTGGCTTTTTGAGTTTTCACACTTCTGCTCATACTAGTATTTTAACAAACTGTTTTACTCTTCATTCTCCTAATTTTATTACTAGTGGGACATAACTGAGACTTTTCTCCTACAACACATGCTTGCATTTATTTTTTCAAAGACAAACAAATCCAAACACTGAAGGTTAAATTCTGTTGCAAAAAAGCTGCAAACCACAACCTGTGCAACATTAATGATAATAAGTTAATAGCCATAAAATAACAATAAGGTAGAAGTTGATAATGTAAATTTCTCTGTAGTGCTGAGTGGAGCATACAGTTGTGGACTCATACAACCCCTTTCACAGCACAGTTATTATTTATTGTTAAAAGATTGTTCGGTGCAACTTAAAAGCAGCTTAAAACTAAGAATTGAGACAAGTCTTCCACAGAACGGCTTTTAGAGTTTTCCCAAACAGCTTTAGACTTAAATTGCTGACAGCAAAATGAATTATCATTATAATTATTGTGTGGAATTTCATCAGTGGCGTTTTACAATCATTTTAGGTCAATAAAATATTGATCTAATTCAGAAAAAGATCATAACAAGATCATGATCAATAGTTATGTAACCTGTTATGATTGCATAACTAGTATTGTACAAACATCATAT